GTCATGCGTCGCGGGAATGTTTTCTGTGTGATCCCGGGCGAGACTTGTGCTGAGGCGAAGCGTGTGACAGCTGATGACGCGGTGGGGCTGCGCGTTTGACGTCGCTGTGCGAACGTTGAAAAGGTGGAGGGCGTGACTTCGTTTACGCCGTGCTGTTGGAGTGAAGGCTGCTAGCCCCGCGGGAGCACCCGTTGTCTCTGGAGGGACGCGCGCCGCTCTCGCTGGAGGGACGCGCGCTGGAGGGAGGCGGGACTCATTACCGGGTTCTTTCAGCTGCTTCACGTTTAAGCTGCGGTGAGCTGCCGAAAGCTGAGACGCGGTGGTGACGGCTGCCCGCGTTGATTCGTCGAGACGGGTGTTGTTTCTTGTGAGAGAGAAGGGCCCCCACCCGAACCAGCCTGCGGACCACATTTATACCGATGTGAGCTGGTTAGCGCCGGCAGCTGTGTGTGTGCGCCAGCATCAACGTAGCGCCGTTGGATGGAGGCTGTCCATCTTAGTGATCGACTCGTCATGTCAGAGCGGCGGTGAGTTAAAATCCTGTTTAAGGACACCGGCTCATGTGGAGGCTGTTCCATCCCACGAGTGCGAGTTGACACCGCTTGAGTGAGGATCGTGCAGTTCTAGTTGGTAATGAGTTATTTTCGCTTACCGTTGTGCCGTGATCGACTCGTCATGTCTAGAGCGACGGTGAGTTTAAAAACCTTTAATTAAGGACACCGGCTCATGTGTGGAGGCTGTTCTGTGATCGACTCGTCATGTCTTAGAGCGACGGTGAGTTTAAAAACCTTTATTTAAGGACACCGGCTCGTGTGTGGGGCTGTTTCATCCCACGGGTACGAGTTGACATCGCTTGGGTGAAAAACGTGCAGCCCGGGATTATAACGAGTTATTTTCACTTACCATCGTGCCCTGTAAGCGATTAATAATGTCTTGGAGCGGCGGTGAGTTTAAAAAGCCTTATAAAGGACACCGGCTCTTATGTGTGGGGCCGCTGTGAGCTCATCCGGGCTTACAGACTGGCTAAAAAACAGACACTTGATCATTAATGATGATTTATTTCAACTTTCGTGTCACTTTTACACACACCCTCCGGAGACCGTCATTTTGAGAGCTTTCTCTCTCATGAGCTCTGCGATTGTTTGCCCAGAGCGCTGTCTTGCAGGCGAACTCTGGGGAAACGCTGAGCTGCAGGCTGCCGGAGTGAAGAGGGCTGGATTCTGACGGGCGGGGCTGGTGGTGGAACTCAGCGAGAGCCGCGGCCGTGGAAAAGTCGAAGCTTGCTCGCGACGGTCCCTCCAGCGGGACGGGGTGGGCCGCGCGGCTTGATGAGGTGGCGCACAGCCTCTGGCACCTCCTCCGACTGTTTCACTTCGCCAGCATGGTTTGAAGCTGCTCTGAACAGCGCGTCCGCGATGGGTTTCATCAGGTCTTGTGCAGATTCTCCGGCAGCGAGGGGAGTAACGAAGCCAGGTGGGTCGTTGGGTCATCGTCCTCCGCGCTGCAGTCCTCGACAGGCAAACCGTGGGAGAGGCACACATGTTGAGCTGGCGTCAGCTGCCTGACAGAGGGAGTTCTTTGTCTCCAAGGCAGGTCTGCGGCCTTCAATCCCTTGGACATGCTATATGCTAGCAGCGCACGTTGTTGCTAACTGCGGCTGCCTGAAAACACATTGGTGGGCTCGATTTGAGAGCGTGTTCGCCGTCTGGTTCGTGTTCCTCCGGAGGGACGGGACGCTGCTCCGACCTGGGCAGCTTCGCTCCGGAAGCTTCCGCGAGGCTTGGCTCCAGGAGGGGTTACCGAGGAATAGCCCCGCTCGGTGAATCCCTCAACTCTGGTGATGGGAGCGGACTGGGGACCGACTCCTCTAATCTACCAGGAAAGAACCGTCTGCGGCCTCGCCCGTGGAACGTCCTGTTGGAACGTGAGGCCGTATGGATCAAGACGGTGAGCCACAGTGGAGCCCAGTGAAAAACAACCTTCCCGCCGATCATCCGAACTGGCGGGAAAAGGCGAGGGACGTAGAAAAAAGGGGTCCCTTCATGTCAGCCTCCTCCCGGGTTCCGCCGGGCAACCCCTGAGGGCGCTGTCGGCCGGGAGCGGTGTGATCGCCGATGCGAAACGAGGTGGGATGGGGTGAGCATTCACTCAGCCCCCCTCCACCTACACTACGCTCCCCGGGAGGGAATGAGCAGCGGGGGCTGCAGCTGAGCACGCCTTGCCCCGGAGGAACCATCCGGTTCGCCCCGAGGGTCGGCGATAAGAGGAAACAACACAAGATGGCGTTGTCCAGCGTGTAGTGACCTGTCACTGGGAAATGTTCCACGAAGCTTACCTTGGAATAAGACTGCTGTCATCTTCTCCTCGGGGAGGAGAACTCACCGGACGACCGGAGGTCGACTGCCGGGCCCAGCATCCTTCACAAGGTTGGTCATTTACACAACTTATCTTCTTTGTTCTTCTGACAGTGCTATATTAGCTCGCTGAAGAAAAAATGGGAGCCGATTTCCCGCTCTTAACGTAATTTATACGGACCGGGTGGGGCCCACACAGCAGGTGGGCGTGGACTAATTTTTTCAGTGCTTATGCTCTGCATAACGGGATAAACCCACTAAAGCGAAGGCCTTAAAGGGCGAAGCTTATACGACATAGAACAGCACCAGTCTTCATGCTTGACAACTAGATAGATGACAAAGCTAGGCCAAATTAGAGACATTTTTCTTCACAAAAAAAAAGTGCATTTAATCCAGAGATATATGAATAGGTTTCTGATATGAGGACTGGACTTTGGAACGTCACGTGTGGATTACATGTTCTGGATGCTGCAGTTTTCAGTTTGGCTCCTACGATAATGGACTGCTGCAAACGTGACTGCGGGACTCGAGCATCAAGTTTGTGCCAGACTGTGTGCTTCCAGTTTTCACAAGCAAAGCAGTTTCTTATAAAATATACATTTTATTTTTAACTCTAATCTGCAATCAACTTTTCACTGTGCTTAATATGAACAAAAAGCAAAACTACAAAACCAAACAAATTATGATGGGATGCACTATCAAAGTGAACAATATTTCATCGATGGCTCTGACCGCAATAAACTGTGGGCTGTTGTATTTTAAATGTCATGCACGCATCTAAAATTGGAATAATGCTTTTTTTTTGTCAATCATCTCAGAAAGTGAAACTCATGACAAATATTTCAAGCTTTTATTTCTTGTTAATTTTGCTTACATATAATGAAAAAACTAAATTCAGCATCTCAGAGAATTAGAATATTCTGAAGAGTTCAATATTGGAACCTCCTGGTGTCACCCTAATCAGCTGATTAAGTCTTTGACATGTTGCATTCTTCAAGTCCAGCCACTCCTGAACCAGAGCCAACATCAGAAGTGTCTTAAATCAAGGCGTCAGAGTCTGGAGCACATATGTCAAACTCGAGGCCCGGGGGCCACATGTGGCCCTCGTTGACATCTTATCTGGTTCCCAAGATGATATTTTAAAAGTAAAACACTATTTTTACTTGATTTTTTTCAGTAATCTTTGATTATGATGTCAAAAGTGCAACAGAGAACATCAGATGACACCAATCAAACTCTTGTTGAGGAACCTGCAACCAATAAAAGATGTTGAGTATCCAACTTGAGTTAAAGTAGATTTTGAAACCGGCCCTTAGTTTGAAAGAGGTTTTAATCTTGGCCCCGAGTTTGACACCCCTGGTCTGGAAGATCAGTAGAGGGGTCCAGAATCCATGTTGCTCAAAGTCCAGAGTGAAGTTTCCACAGTCAGTGACTGGTTGGGTCCATGTCCTCTGCTGGTGTTGGTCCACTGGGTTTTCTGAAGTCCACAGTCAACGCAGCGTCTACCAGGACATTTTAGAGACTTCATGCTTCCTTCTGCTGACAAACTTTATGGAGATGCTGATTTCATTTTCCAGCAGACTTAGCTCCTGTCCACACTGACAAAGGTACCCAAAGCTGGCTGTGAAATATTCTAATTTACTGAGTCACTGAATTATTTTCTTTTTCACGATTTCTAAGACATAAAAATCAAAATTGCAATAAGTATAAGGATTAAAATATTTCACCCTATGTGTAATGAATGAGTTTCAGTTTCTGAAATGGACAAAAGAAACGGAACTTTTTCACAATATTCTAATTTTTTTTTTTTAGATGCACCTGTAATGAAATGTGGATTGAGACAGTTTTCATTGCAACATTTAACATTATCTCATATTTGTGTTTTTTATTATGTGCATAGCAGCACAACAACAGACGGGCTTTTATCAGTAAACACATGCAGCTTCGATGCAGCAGCTTAGCAATGCTCACAGTGACCATGTCACGCAGCTGATGTGCAGCCAGCAGGAAACTATCAGGTGGCGTTTCCCCCTTGGTAATAAAAACTGCAGGGTCATATCTGCATGCAGGTAGGAAGACATCACATGAAACAGATGTTTGTTTTAGCTTCGTCTTTCCTACAGGTGTATATATATATATATATATATATATATATATATATATATATATATATA